GAGCCACTTTTTAGACCCTTCGACTGCTATATGATCTATGTCTTGTTGTAGTTTTATTGCATCATCTTCTGCTTTGATTACCCCTAAAATCTTACAATCATCTGCGTAGATCTTTATATGATGCACCATGTTGTCTGAACGTGGTGCATCATAGAAGGTCGTTTATATAAATCAGAAACAAAAGTGGACCTAACACTGAACCTTGAGGAACACCACTAGTAACATCGACCCATTCAGACCAGCTATTAATGATGACCAATCTCTGTTTTCGATTTTTTAACCAGTCAGTTATCTAATCCAGGAGTGTTGTATATATTTTTAAATATATGTATGTATATATATGTATATTTATATTGTATTAATATATACTAGCAAAAGGCAACCCGTAATACGGGTTTTGGTCGGTCTGTTACATAATTAATTTATAGTGGCTGTTTTAGAAAAGAAAATTGTTATTCTTTTCTTCTTTAGAAAAGAAAATTGTTAACTTAAAAATGTTAAATGCACACATTTAAATAAATTTATTAAAGATAACAAAGTTTATTATAACTACGCAACTGAGTACAAATACCTTTCAAACAAACAAAATTTAATTTACGATCAAACATGGGTATAACAAATTTTTTAATACATTAATGCATCATATGACAAACTAAAATAAAAATTATAAGAGATAAGTAGACATAAAAATTTGTAAACCAAGCTGACCTGACCCGGGTCTTGTTAAGTCTGTTCAACACAGACCATTCCTATATTATTTGTTTGGCCTCTTTATTTCATTAAATTTTTAGTAAACGGTAATTTGCCACTATTTACTAAAAATTCCTTTTGTAACTCGAAATTTAATTTTCCTAAATATTTTGACTCTAATAAAGAGGTTCCTTCCCTCTTTTTGCTTTAATGGTGGCCAGGTGAATAAAATAAAATAATAAAATGTAAAACAATGATCTACTTATATAAGAATGTTTTCTTTCTTTCCTCAAAAGTGTTGCAAATACAGACTAAGCTAACTAATTAGTTAAACGCATAAATAAAACTTAAGTAGCTCGATATTAATGTGCAAAACTACAATATTCTCCATATTTTTAAAGGTTTTTAGTTACGACCCCCCATTTACAAAGATCCCCTTAAAATACGTATAATAAATTATTAGGCATAAAATAGATAAAATATAAAATTAACTAATAGTATATATTTATATCTTTTTAACTAACAATAAAAAGAAATCAGTTTTTTTTATTATATAATTCTTATAAATGCGTCATAACGTAATTCTAAAATAAAAAAGTAATGAAATTATAGTATCATAATAACAAAGAAAAAAAACCAACAGAAACCACCACACAATTACCAAAAATCGATTTACCTATTTATAGTAACCTATTTTGAAATTGCAGTTAAAGACTTATCGAAAATGTAACTATAAAACCTGTTTCGAAGTACCAAAGCATTAACAATACTAAAAAAAAAATCAAACTAAGATATAAATTGTTGTTTTGGCTTTTATAATTTAAACATATATATAACTATAAACAAGTATGACTTTATGTAACACAAATAAACACATTGAATTGAAAAACAACTATTGAATGATAGATATATTTACCAAAAACTATGAAAAAAAAAAATAATGATAAATAAAGTTATACATACAAAATGTGCTCACAACCTTTAACAGTAAATTTTCGAAATGAAAATCTAAAGACTATAAATTAAGAACATTAAAAAATATAACAATATAGATGATACATTTTTTTACCTACTATACCTTGAATAAGATGTTTATCAATTTTGAAAAACAAACTATTAAATGCTATAGTTCTTGAAAATGCAGCATATAGTTGACCATGAGAGAAACACGGTTTTTAAGATATTTCTTTTGTCTATGTTTAATTTCGCGTTACGTAATATATAGACAATCCTAAAAGAAAATACTTGAAACTAAAAAGATCTTATTTATTACAATATTTGAACAACCAAGGAACAATTTAAAGAATTATATCTTTAAAAAGCAAATTATCAATTGCAGTATTATAAAATATGCAAGAGCTTAGTAATTACAGAGTTTAATTAATTCTCTCTCTACAATTCTCCCTGTACTAATTCTTATTTTAGTCTCATCTAAGAGAGAGAGAGGAAGTGTTTTAAAAACACCATGTTAGAAAAAGTAAAAAAGTCATGCAATAAATAACAGTAACTGGTTTTATTATGCTACTAATAAACAAAATTATTTTTACCTTAACTAAAAGTGAATTTCCAGTATTTCTTAATTAATTTCCAGCTTCTCTCTAACTATTGACAAATGATTAATATTGTAAATTTCACATCATATTAAATTTACAAAATTAAAACCATGTTTCAACAGTAAGCGAAATAATCAAGTGATGACAAAGACAACTAAAAAAAAAAAGAACAATTATGTTTAAAATTACAACAAAAAAAAAAAAAAAAAAAAAAAAATCATTTAAAATTGAAACTGTTATTATTTGTTACTATAAATAGTAAAAAATTCATACTTTGCTTTATTTTAAAGTGTCTAATGTAAAGTCAAATAATAGACTTCAACACCGCTTGACACTGAATTTCGCCAAGTAAGTTTTTGGTTCATCAAGCAAAATTTCTTATATTTCAACAACAATTAATTTTATCACGCCTAGATCTATTTCTTTCATATGACAACAATTTCAAGTCACCTATAACCATTTACACTAATAACTTCTTCGAGCCATTATACATCTGTTATCATTAAATATATATTACCAGTGATTATACTACTGTTACAACTGAATAAATGAACGTTTTATATTTTTACAACTGAAAAATATAAAACAAAATTTATTGACATCATTTTAATTTAGCAAAGAATTTAGAACACAGTGCAAAGTTATTTACATTGTGTTCTAAATTTTTTGCTAAATTAAGAAAGCCTTCAGGCACAATCTTAATGCACAAAAATAATAAATGCAGAATCTTGTATAAAAAATGAAGCAATGTCAGTCTAAACTAATATATATGTATGTATATATATTCAAATTTTTTCTATTCTTAATTTTTTCTTTGAGATAATATTCATATAGATTCAGAAAAATACAAAATATTCTGATATATAGGCATATTTATGTATATAAACTTACCTGTCAAAAATTACAGTCCGTTTTTCATGTTAAATACATAAAATATATATCTAATATAAAATTAAACAAAACATTAAACTTACTCAAATCAGTAACAGTTCGACTGTCTAAATATTTTTATTATTAACCCTTCTATTTAAAAAAAGAAACAAATGATTTGAAGTGACTAAAAAGCACTTTAGCTCTTTCCAATTGCACTAAAAAATAAAATAAATCTTGCTTCGCTATGTTGCCTAGTTCTTAAGAATCTGAAAACAAATAAGTAAAAAGCCAAGAACAAACAAACATTTATTTACTAAAACTACTCTATTTAAACGAATTAAATTAAACAGAGAACAACATTAATCCTTCAAAAAAATTAAAAACCTTTTTAGTACAAATTTGCTTGTAGACCTTGCTTATAAAACCACTTGAATAAGAAAAGCATCAAAAAAGCCTAGAAGCTACTTAAAAATAGTATATGCAACATTGAACTTTAAATATTGATTGGTGTAGATATTTTTAAAAAATTCAAAATGATTTGTTCTTTTATAGCAAATAAATACACCATAAATCTGAAGTTAAAAATGTAACAAATAAGTAAATACAAATAAAAACATCATATGTGTATTGAAAATCAATGTACCTGATAGAGATAAGCTGTGGTGATACCTGAGTAGTATCACCACATACACGTATTTATCAAAAAAATTTTAACTTTGATCATAATATACATGCAAACATATATGCAAACTTTTAACAACTATAAAACAACATTTATTAGCATCAATTATTTTAAATGTAACAAAGAATGCAGACTACAATGCACGACATTGTTAATAAAAATGAAGTTATGTCAGTCAGTGTATATTTATCTAAAGTAGTGAAAAAGAATAAACCATTTAAAAACAAAATTAAAAATTTCTAATGAATATATATTTAGATACCTTATAATGAAGCATAACACAACACTCTTTTGACAAATTCCAGAGCAAATTTTCTAAATTTTTCTATTCCTTATTATTTTTCCTTAGAGAAAATATACATATAGATATAGAGGAATATAAAATAGACTGAAATAAACGCAAACTTATGTATATAAACTTACATGACCACAAATAACAGTCTTACTTAACTTTATTATTACATATTAAATACATAAATAAAATTTTATTCTCATTATTCTTTCTATATAAAAAAAATCTTAGCCTATGTATGAGAAAATGAAGTAAACTTACTAAAAAAGCGATCATTTCGTCTTAACTGCCCTAAAAAATAAAGCAAATACTTGCTTAAAATGTTTTAAAAAGACTAATGACAAAACTGAAACAGTTTTCTTAAAAAAGAAACATTGTACTAATAAAACTATTTTACCAGTCAATTTAGTTCTAACTTCTTCTAAAAAATGAAAAATTAATACATAATTAGATACCTTAAAATGAAGCATAACACTAGAAACAACTTCAAAACTAAGAAATAGTGTATTTTACATAATGCAGAACCGTAATTAACAAAACGAACAATAGGCGTAACAATGCATAACTATGCGCACTAATAATTATAATATTCATTCGGCTATTCATTATATATATATATATATATATATATATATATATATATATATATATATATATATATATATATATATATATATATATATATATATATATATATATATATATATTATTAATATATATATATATACTATTAATATATATATATATACTATTAATATATATATATATATATATATATATATATATATATATATATATATATATATATATATATATATATATATATATATATATATATATATATATATATATATATATATAAAATATATTTTTAATATTATATATATATACACTTTAAAACAAAATTTAGTGCTTACCATGGACATTCTGTGTCGCTTATTGATATTAGCCCTTACAAATTTAAACTTCTTGGTTTTCAAAAAGATTATGTTCATGTGGTGCCACGTCCAGATGTTTATGATGGAATGTTTAAGGGAGATCATAATGATCCTTTGATTGGTGAAATGTATGCAGATGAAGCAATCAAGGTCATGGATAATGCAGTTAAAAATGGTAGAAAGGTAAAAAAAAGTTTTGAATTAAAAATAGTTTAAAAGTTAAGTTTTTTCATTTTAGATATTGTAAAATGCATTATTTTGGTTGTTTGGGGCTCAATTTAAAGGTCGGACATGGCTGGCCCCTGGACTGTTTTTAAGATCTGATTTATGGGGACAAGTAACCATTGTTCATTTTTACTAAAAAAATTAACAATGGTTTGTTGCCCTCTTCTAGCAGGTCTCAAGAATGGTCCGAGGGACAGTAATGTCTGACCGTTAAATTGAGCCCTGAATGTTGCAGCATATGCTATGTAACATATATTATATGATATTCTTTTTTTTAATAATGTTATAAATGTCTTCATCAAGATACAAACAGGTTTTTTTATTTTATTATTAAAATTTTTTTTGTTTTAATTAAATTATTTTAGATTGGAATGTTTATAGCTGAATCATTGCTATCTTGTGGTGGTCAGACTATTTTGCCTAATGGTTATCTAAAAAAAATTTACAAGTTAGTTTTTAATAAAATAATACATTGTAAAAATTGAGTTAAAAAGCATTTGATAAGTTCATAAGTTTCTAAAGAAATAATTATAAAACTGTTTGATGAACAACAACAAATTTTACAACTGTAGCTTAAAACATTGAAGCATCAAAAATATTTAGCAAATAGAATTTTTTTTTACCTTATATGAAATTACATGTTTGTAACTTTATATAAAGACATGTTCATGATCTTGGTGGTGTCTGTGTTGCGGATGAGGTGCAAGTAGGACTTGGGAGACTTGGGAAAGAAGGGTACTGGGGTTTTGAGAGGCAAGGTAATTCATTAAAATTGAAATATTTTATTGTAGAAATTCATAGAAGTTCTGAAAATTTAATGTTTTTATAATTTTTATATTGTTTCTTTGTCTGTATAGGCGTAGTTCCAGATATTGTAACAATTGGTAAACCTCTTGGGAATGGACATCCAGTATCTTGTGTTGTAACAACAAATGAAATTGCAGAAGCATTTGAACATACTAAAGTTCCATATTTTAGCACAGTATTTAGTTTAACTTTTTTTATACCAAATTTTTTATTTTAAAAAAAAAGCAGCAGTAACAGCAGTTAATTCTTTAATTGCCCATAAAATAGTTTTGGTAATTGTTCTATTACTTGCTTCATACTTAGGGTGACCATTCTCCCGGTTTTTACCGGAAGAGCGCAGTGCTAAAGAAATTTTAATTAGTTTAGTGCCGCGCTCTCCTACAAAAAAACTAGGACAATGGTCACCCTATTCATACTAGGTTTTATGTTAAAAATAAAAACCTAATGTATTTTTATTCAAATAGAAATTTTTCTTATAAAACGCATTAACATAAGTAACAGAGATTTGTTGTTTTTATGTAGAAATGTTATTTGTGATTTTCTTATTTTTCTATAGTCCATATAAAACCATAAAAAAAAAAAGTACCCAAAAAAATAACAACAAAAAAACAAAAATAACAAGAACAACAAAAATAATAAATTCTGTTATTAGGTGAAAAAATTTGAATTCAAATATCGTTTTGCAATTTATAATTGAAAAAGTTTGATTTTTACCCCTCAAAATGTTTGATTTTTACCAATTAAAATGTTTGGTTTCTACCATAATTGGTTTAGTAATGGAAAATAACATTTTTTTTATTGATGTTTATTTGATGTCTATTTTGGTGATTTTTATTTATTTCAGTTTTAAAATATTATTTTTATTTAATTAATTTTACATATTTACTACTAATTTACTTAAGATAAAAAAATATTTAAATAAAATAAGTATACTCAAAATGAATATATATATATATATATATATATATATATATATATATATATATATATATATATATATATATGATTTAAAGGATACCATCTTGTGTGAGAGTATATATTATTTTAAAACATCAAAAATACGATTTCTCTCAACACTTATAATTTTTTTATTATTATAGAAATTTTCGCTGGATTTTAGATACCAGCTTCTTTAGCTTGTTAAATGTTACAGTAATTAATAAAATCGTTATAATTTAAATTAAAACGTTGCTATTGACGTCAGCGGTTGAATGGCTTCTTTTTCGCTGAAATTTAAAAAATGGCGTCCAAAACTTAGTTTTTACGTATTGACCCTCATCGAGATTAATCCTGCCATTTTTTGCAGAACACATGTTTTTTTGTATTTCTAGGGCTTCCCTAACTTTTCTTTCAAATTTTTTATTTTCTACTTTCAATGTTTTTGTTTGTTCCCAAATAATTTCTTTTTTGCAAAATGTTTTATGCAGAGCTAATGCGGATTGATGCTGCTTATTTTCATCAATGCTTTTTTGGTGTTGATGCATTCGTGTGTTTACTTTCATTTTTGTTTCGCCTACATACACTTTTGAACAGTTGCATTTGATTATATATGTCCCGGTTGACTGTTATTAGGTAGTTTTGATTTATTTTTTGATGTTAACAGGGATCTTAAGTTTGGGTTTGATTTGAATACCGCTCTGTAACCAGCTTTTCGGAATATTTTCCTAAGTTTTGGTGAGAGACCGGTTTTTGGTGAGAGTACCATGGGTACCCGGTCTCTCACCAAAACTTAGGAAAATATTCCGTATCAAACATGTAACATTTAACTCTGTGTGTGTGTGTGTGTACACATATATGTGTATACACACATATATGTGTAATATACACATATGTATATTAGGGTGATCCTATTGTCCATTATTTTTAAATTTTTGAGTAAACAAGCCTGACTTTTTTTTAATGAGGTTACTTCTAATTAAGAACTGGGAAAAATTTGAACTTGATTGAACAATTTCTAGAGAATTAGTTTAAAAGTAAAGTGACTTATTTACTATAAAGCAGTTCCCGCAAAGTTACAACAAAGCTTTACTCCACATTCAGCATTTCAGACATTCAGAGTGGCTTACAACACATAGGTTAGAAAGTTTTTGAAACTAGAAACTTTTGTTTTTGTTTATTATTCTGTAACCAGTTTCTTGAGAAAACCTCTGTTTATATTTAGTATGGTGGAAAATACTAGGGAGTCTTCACCAATAAAATTAGTCAGGTCTTTCACAGCCATTTCAGGAAGCATTGGAAATGAAAGTTTACCAAACCCCAATCTTTTCTTTTTTTCAATTTATTTCATTTGTTATCATAATTTTTTAACAAAAGTATTTTATTTGCAATCTTTTGCCTGTTGGTCTTCTAAGTTGTTATTAAAAAGAGACTGGAGCCAACTCCTCCGTGAGGTACTATTGATTTTAATTGTATTAGGAGCTGCTGAAGATATAGGTGCACTTAGCCACCATGCAATATAGCAAAATACAACTAATTGAACAGTTCTTTGTAGCTTATTATGTTGTTAAACAGTACAAGTATTTTTAGAACAATTTTGACATCCACCTTGCATTGTGCAAATAACAATTTTGACATTCACCTTGCATTGCGCAAAGTTCCTGGTTAATTAAATCCAGAGAAAACCACATTTTGCCCATTACTTAGATACAACAATGTTAATTGAATAAGTTCTATATAATCATCTCTGTTGAAATTTTCGCGTATGGTTTATTGGCAAAGATTGGTAATGAGATCTTTTTTGTTTATCAAAGACTGTGAAGTTTGACAAATGTCAAGGTCATCAATATTTTGGCCAATCAGGTGCTCAATGTTTTTTTAAATCTAAAAACCAAATAATGCAGTCATTTTTGTATAGCTTAGAGAACTAATGATATTTGATTTTAAATATTAAATAAAAATAAAATATTTTACTAAATGCACATAAATTGTATTGCTATAAATCAAATACCAATGTTAGATTACCTTAATAATAGATTGATATTTGGACCTTTTGAAACCTCTACCTCTACACTATTTCATACATAAGTTAGTATTACTTCCCCTATGTAATGTTGGCAAGTGAGCCATAGAAGTGGACTGTTCAACATATCAAGACAAACTTCATCTGTTTCCATTCAAGCGTTGTTAGAATATCTCAAGATATTTAGTTGCTGTTCTTTTTCTTTATCAATTCTTTCTATGCCATTTTATTTTTGTCATTGTTTCTATGGATACAATTTTGGCCTTAAGGCGGTCTTGCATTAAGGCCAAAAATTAAGGCCTTGGTCTTGGCCTTGAAACTGCTGGCCTTGGCCTTGGTGTTGGCCTTGATTGTTTTGGCCTTGGTGTTGGCCTTAATTGTTTTGGCCTTGGTCTTAAAAAAAAAAAGTACATAAAATTAGAGAATTAAACTTTTCATACTTTATTTTTATGTATTTTTGTTTTTGGCTTTCATATATATCTACAAGTATATTTTCTTATTAACTTTGTTAAATTCTGTGCATAACCTTGGTTTATTTTACAATGTGGTTTTATTGTCACAGCAATTGTTCCATACAGTTTTGTTAATAATTGGTCTTAACAGAAGGCAAAAATTTATGTCTTTAATCTTGAAAATGTTTGTGAAGGCCTTGGCCTTGGCCTTGAAACCCTTGTTTTTGGGCTTGAACGTAAAACTCTTGCCCTTGCCTTGTCCTTGGCCTCGTAACTTTTGATCTCGGTTTTGGCCTTGCTATTTTTGACCTTGTTAACAACTCTGGCTACAAAAAACAGCACAAATTAAAAAAAAAAAAAAAATCAAAAAAGCCAATTTTGTATAAAATGGTTAATTTTTTATTATTATTTATAAATGGTTAATTTTTTTAGAAATTTCATTTCAGATTTTTGGTAAGAATAATAAAAGGAAAGAAGAATATTAATATTCCAAATAACATTCTAGAAGGTTAATACTTTCTCCTGATGACCGACAACTTTTGAAATCTTGAAACTTAAATTGAAATCTGCTAACACTAAACATAATATTCTTAAAACTTCAGGCTCTTACTATTTATTATGAACCCCCATCCCCCACCTGCCAAAAAAAAACAGTCAAGTTTAATCAGAGCACATAAGGGCAGCTGGATCACTATAGATCTTAGCTGCCCTTATGTGCTGGATCACCCTAATGTAATATATAAATTTTATAACTGCCCTAATATATTTATCTATTAATTTATATTAGTTTGAATTTATATTAAAATATATGTATAATAATTTAAGTAACCAAAACACATTTTTAAGAATTGCACACAAAAAAAAAGTTATACAGGCCTTCAGTCGTTTAAAAGGCGTGTGATTGTATGCCTTAAATGACCATGCATATAATATACTGTTTTGACAACTTGGCCACGACTCTTTGCAAGTTTCAATAATTAGCGCATTTAATAAATGCACTAAAAAATTTAAATGAACTTAAACTAAAATTAAAAATAAGCCATAAACTGAAAAGAGAAATTTAAAAAAAACAAAAAAAAACTAAAAAAATAAAAATTGAATAATAAAATAAGATAGATAAACCAGATAAACCAGAAAAAATAATATCTAAATAAAAGTTTGGTAGTTATTTTAATTAATAATTTCTTCAAAACTGAATTATTTAAAAATTTGAAACTTGACATTTTTAATATTTACTAAGCAAATAACATAAAAAAGAAAGATCTTTTAAAGGAATTTGAACCTGTATCCAATACCAATTTATCAGTTGTTCCTCAAAAATAAGCATTAAATTATCTGCTGCACTAATTTTGTTATATGTGAAAAATTATTGCCTTTAAAGTAATAATTGAGATGCTTTTAAATTAAAAAATTATTGAAATGTAATTTAATTAAAAATAATTTGTTTTTATTTTTGCTGGTTTTTCTTTTATTTGTTTTATTATTCATTCATTTTGCTTCTCTTTTCAGTTTATTTTTAATTTTTTTTTTCACTTTGGTTTAAATAAAAGTAGTATCAGGGGCTATTCTAGACCATTTTCGACAGTGTCAACTGTATTTAGGCGCCGCCCAAATTAAAATTTGATAACCTTTTTTTTTACGTTTTTTACGGCAAATATAGTAATTTTTGTGAAAAAACCGATTTTTTTGCTTTATTTCTCTGGGACAGGGGGAACCGCCATCCAAATTCTTTTTCCTAGAATAACCCCTGACTATATCATTATATTTATATCTTTAATATTTAAAAAGTTACCTTTAATTCATCTGTATATTGGTATTTTAATTCTTATTTACAAAATTACAGGTAAACAAAAAATTTTTTTTTTTTACATCTTCGCTTCCAACAAGGCTGCAAGCAACCACTATAAGAGTTGGAAGTTACTGGAAGAGAAAAGATGAAGTTTATAGAGCAAGATAACAATTGACAGACGATTTAAAGGATTGCAAATTATATAAATCAAGATGAAGGAAGCAAATTCCAAAGAACTGATGTCCAAGGAAAAAAACTAGACAAATAAGATTTTTTGGAGCACTTAGTAACAGTCACAGAAAAAGGATGAGACTTAATTAAATGACAAGTAATGCGATAATGAATTTTAGTAGATGGCACAAGAGACACTAGCTCTTTAGAGCAGTGTCCATTATAGTATTTGTAGAAAAGAGAAAGAGAACCAATATTACAACGATGTGATAATGGTTGGAGGTTGGCTGCAAGAGCAGGTCCAACTATGTTTACAATGTGCTTTTTCATCTTGTATAAAAGAGAAAGGGCATCATTAGTAGATCTGCCCCAGATATGGCAACAGAATTCCATACAAGGCCAGATTAGAGATGTATATAGATATAGAATAGAATCCATAGTAAGAAAGTGTTGAGCTTGATAAAGAGATGCAACTTTAGCAGATGCTAATTTTTCAACAGATTTAATATATATGGTTTCCAAGAAAGATTAGAAGTAAGAGTTAATCTTAGAAGATGAAGGGTAGATGACTTAAGTACATTACCGTTCATAAATATAGGAAGATATAAGTTATTGCAATAGCAATCGGCTGAAAAAAACATTTTTTTAAACATTTTATATTACAATAAATATTAAAATTAAGTTTTCATCGATTGCTTGATGTTAATATTAATTTATTTTAATATTTATTGTTCATCATGTTTTCAAAGCATTATATGCAAATATATTTGCATATAATGCTTCATAAAATTTTTTATAGTTGTTTTTTAAAATAACTTCACTGGCCTTTTTAATACTGTGAAAACTTTTTTTTATCAAGCCAATAACAAATTAATTGTTTTGTAAAACTTTGTTTCCTTTCTGTTTTTTTCTTTAATTTTTTTTCTTTGATTATTGTATTTTTGTTTTCATGACCTCCATGTTGAATGTTACTTCAAAAAACCAGATAAAAAATCATATTAATTTAAATATTATTCTTTCATGTTGAAAATGTTTTTTTGTTTTTGTTTTTAAAGTTTGGAGGAAATCCAGTTTCAATGTCCATAGCTTTATCTGTTTTAAATGTTATTGAAGAAGAAAACCTCATTGAAAATGCTGAAAGAGTTGGAAATTTTTTACGAGAGGAGCTTAAAATGTTACAGCTTAAATTTCCTATTATAGGCGATGTGAGGTAAATTTATTGAAATTTAAAATTTCTTTTATTATTTTAATTTTTTTTTATAATTATTATCAGTTTTGTTAGTTTTTAGCATATCATTTTAGCATATGCTATCTGTTCTATATACTGCTGCCAGGGGCTTCCATCGACTATTTTATAGCTTACTGCTGCAAAGGTGTAAGCTGTAAGATAGACCTTATACATCGACTAAGGGTTTGGGATGGGGTAGCTTTTCTTTCATTATTTTTTGTTTTTTCTTCTTTTTCTGAAAAACTGTAGAGATTAATTTATGAAAAATAGAGTAACAATTTGTTACCCTATTTTATAAATCTATATATAAATGTATATGAATATATATATATATATATATATATATATATATATATATATATATATATATATATATATATATATATATATATATATATATATATATATATATATATATATATATATATATATGCATATATATATATATATATATATATATATATATATATATATATATATATATATATATATATATATATATATATATATATATATATACACACTTGTAAAATAGGGTAACAAATTGTTACTCTATTTTTGATAAATTAATTTATACAGCTTTTTCAGAAAAAGAAGGAACTTTGTAAATTTTGTGAAATCTACAAAGTTTTACATATTTCTTGAATTTGACCCCGAATGTTGGTGCTAAATTTCTGAAATACACAAAATCATTTGAGACTAAAAAATTATTTTGCAGTCTCTGAAAGTAACATGCTCAATCAGAAACTGCACATCGATCTTTTCTGACAAAATAACTAATCTGGTTGACAAGTTTTGTGATTTAGAGTTTAGGGTTGGAAAAATGTTGCAAAAAAGAAATTATTTGTGTTAAAATTTTTAAAAATTAAAAGTTGCATTGCTTCATTTTTCTGAGTAATAAAGCTGAGAGATTTATCACTAAGATTTCTTTCTTGTTAAAAAAAAAAAAAAAAAATTTAACTCTTTGGACACCAATCTTTTATAAAAATTTTTTTATAAAAAGCATTATTTGCTAACATGCTGTTTTTGTCAAGATCTTCTTCTTAAAAGTCACCGTTTCAATTAATTTTATATAATATATTTTATTTAATAACATACATTTAAAAAAAAATTATTTTTACAACTTCTTCCTGACAATATGATTTGTATACCTAGTTGTCTTTTAAACACGTTTGTTGATTCAGCCACTATGATAAATTGTTGACCACTAAAAACAATCCTTGATCACTTCCGAATGTCTTTGACTTCTACCAGCTATCCTTGACTATCTAATTGTAACTATCTGACTGAATTTAATTGTACTATAATTGTAACTCTCTCTCTCTCGCAAACGCAACTCTCGCAACTCTCGCAAAGTCTTTTCTTGTTTTAGAACTTCATCAATACTGATTTTTATGTTTTGTACCAACTTTGTTTACGCCATCTCTTTCTTCAGTAATCACCCCTTTTAAATTAGCTGGATCTTTGTTTCCAGGATCAAATTAGCTAATGCCAATAAGCACATTATGGCCTTTTTTTTGAGGATCTAACTGTTTATTTAATCTTTCAACTATTTTCTTTGCTTGAATACACAAATTTTGTATAACAAATTTTCTTTTTATATTTGCTGGGTTGATAGAATCTGCAATGCTTGGTATCAATTTACTCTATATCTTTATTATTGGAATAAACTATAACATTGTTACTTATACTACACATGCTATTTATGGTTTGAAAAGCTGAGATTTTCCACTAATGACATAACAATGTCAACAAGATTAGCAGATCTGGTTGGACCAGACTCGTGGTTTATCTCTCACAACCCCCAGTTAAAATCAGAGTTCTTAAAATAATCAACATCAGTGTAAGAATAAGTAATATAAACTTCTTTTTAATTCATTTTCTATAATGCTGTTGTTGTATTGTGTTATGAAGCTAATAAAACTGTGGCTATAATGATGTTACAGTTGACCTAAAGTATGTTGAAATAGTAATAATTCAAAACTGTTGGACCCCCTAAAATTAATCCAATTCTACTGAAACTTTGCCATAAATTATTTTTTATTGTTAGAAAGAAAAAAAATTGAATATATATATATATATATATATATATATATATATATATATATATATATATATATATATATATATATATATATATATATATATATATATATATATATATATATATATATATCAGGCCTTGTTTTAAAGCGTTACGCCTAGAGCGATTTACGTACGCCTTAAGCGCTTTTTACGTACGCGTAGAGCTGTTTTGGTTAAGCTACTTTTTATCATTTTTTAACTTTTAAATTAGCGGTAACATAAAAGAAATAATTAATTTTCAAAAAAATCACATTAACTTTTAAATAACGATATGTAAAGGTATTTATTAAAAAAAAGAATTTACTTTAAAATTAATTGTTGTAACTTTTCATCGCGATATATCTTTCCTTTTTATAGCAATTAATTTGACGCTAAACTTTTAATCCAAATATTTAGCAACATGAAAAATTGTTTGTCAATCCTTAACTACAAATTTTTTGGAATGTTTTTAATAAAAAGTAGTAAAGTTTTTAGTAAAAAAGTTTTAAAAAATCTATATTCTATATTTATTAATACAGAATATAAAAGTTTTTTGTAATATAGATTTTTTATGAATTTTTTACTGAATTTATAATAAAAAACATTTGCAAAAAAATTTGTAATTAAGAATTGACATTTTTTTTAATAAAATCTCAAAAAATGTCTTAATATTTTTGTTATCATGATAACAAAAATATCAAGACATTTTTTCGAGATGTTAAAAAAAATGTCTTTGCTTTTCTTATTAGTTTATTAGTATATAGCTTATAGTTAGTTTAATAGTATATAGCTTTTCTTATTAGTTTATTAGTATATAGTTTAAGTTATTAGGGGGGAGGGGGTCGGCACAGAAAAAAAAATTACCTGTTACTCGCAATATTTGAATGAAGACAATTTGTTAAAATTCTTCTGCGTGCGATTTAATAAGTTTTTTTTGTCATAAATCAAGTTATTATATAAGGTAAAGAAATCATGAGTAGACTACAACATCCGCTGATGACACTAATATTACGTTGAATATATTTATATAACGGAGGTTTTATTATGCACGCGCACATTATAGGTTCCGTTAAATAAATACTAAGGCACGTTTTAGTTTAATGACAGTCTCCATTTTTTACTAATGAATATGTATTTTTCTTTATAAAACAAAACAAACTAGTATATAAAAACCTTGTATATTTCTATTATCTCTAAATTATTTAAAGTTCGAATATGGATTGTATTTTGAAGGACAAAAGATTTACTTTAAAAACTTTTAAATCTTGGGACTTTGCCGATGCGATGATCACAGAAAAAGAGAAGACTTACGTTATTAAAATCAAATGTAAGTTATGTGATCTTCATCAAAATAAAATATTATCCAAAAACAATAGTGCCGTAAGGGCAACTGCCCAACGGTTTATAAATAATACAAGTCATGTTAAAATATTTTAACATGTTACTATATTTTAATTAAGTTGATATATAATTAAAAATAAAAATATAGTTCAATAAATAAATTAAATTTATTCTTAACAAAGATTACCTCATATTTATTCTTTTTTTTATTTTATCAAGTTAAATTGCTTACAAACGAAAAAAAAAAAGAGTTTTGTAATTATACGTAGAATGAAAATACTTTTGAGTTTGTTTATAAGTTAAGGAACTTAATTTTTAATAAACAAATTTTTACGAACGTTTATTATAAACAGATACGATTCAAATTATTAAATATACTTAAATTATTTCAGTTGAGTATTTTTATAAGTTTGCACGATTAAAGTTTGGCGTACAAGTATTTGTTTTTTTGTTTTAAGAATAATTAATAAAAGAGTTTGCATAATTAAGACTTTTATATTTAATTTAATTTTTTTTTTTAATTTCCTAAAATTAAAAAAAAAAAAGATTTAATTGTTGAAAACGATTTTTCTCTATAGCTCTGTTTCTTTGTGATTTGTTTAAAAAGTTAAATATTTTTACAATAACATAAAAAGTTTATGAATTAAATTCCTAGCGAACGCGTTCTAAATTACGTATCAAAAATACGCTTCAAAGCAGACAAAACTTTTTTATATTTTTATAAAACGCAAGTTGAAACGCTTTTAAAAATTTAAAAAATATTTAAAAACTTAAATTTTTCTTTGCTAGTCAAAACAAAATCGTTGTTTAAATAATTAACATGGGTTTGTGTTTATCAATGTTAATATTTTTTGTTTACTCTAGAAATTTTTAAAAATAAAAAAAATCATTATTATTTTTTATTCAATAACGATTAAAAACAATTATTCAAAAACAAATTTCAGAAATAATTAATATATATATATATATATTTTTTTTTTTACTAAATAATATTGAACTAAAATAAATAATAAAATAACAATTGAAAACATTACAAAATTTTCATAATAAATTTATATTTAAAACGTTTATAGTTTATATTTGAGTTAATTGTTAAATTGAATTAGTTTGCGGTTATTTATTTATTGCGGTAGTTAAAACACTTAACGCCTATAAAAAAAAATAAAGATAATTTTATGACGTCAAAATCGCGTTAAGCTAATGCATTAAGCACTTTTTTATTTAAAACAAGGCCTGATATATATATATATATATATATATATATATATATATATATATATATATATATATATATATATATATATATATATATATATATATATATGTATATGTATGTATATATATGTATATATATATATATATATATTTTTTATTTTACTTCACCTCCTCAAGGCCGGAAAGGCCACTACAGACGAGGAGGCTACTTATTTTGTGGCTATAACCCTCTCTCAACTCTATAACTCCGAAACACGAACCTTGACGAACAAGGCCGCTGCGCGGAGAAACGAGTTGAGCGCGGTACTACCAAGGACGTGGTGGGGATCGAACTCGGAACCACTCGTTTATGAAGGTTTATATATATATATATATATATATATATATATATATATATATATATATATATATATATATATATATATAATGCATATAAATGCATGCATGCACACACATATGCTTTGTTTTAAGGGGAATTGGATTGTTTGCTGGAATAGTTTTGACCAAGAATAGAGAGACTCGAGAACCTGCAACTGAGATTGCTAAAAAAGTTTGTTACAGGTATTTTTAATTATGTTTTAATTTTTAACAGTTGATTTTTATTTCTATATTTCTTATGAAAAAATTTTTCATCAAGTTCTTTTTATTCTACAAATGATTTTTTTTAATTTTTATTTTGGGTCTTATTAACTATAATGATTTATAATGAATTAATTTCTTAAGTTTAAAAAATTAACGTTGAGATGTTTGATTTCTCTGCAAAAGTAAATGCACCATTTTTACTAGCACAACTATATAATATAAAACAATTGAATTGAGTAAAAGTTCTAATCCCATAAATTCTAATATTTCCATGAATTCTTTACAGAATGCGTGATCATCGTATTCTTATCAGTCGAGACGGACCTGGTGAAAATGTTTTAAAAATTAAACCTCCAATGGTCATCACTATAGAAGATATGCGTTGTTTTTTAAATGTTTTGGAAACAATCTTAAATGAACTTTACGAAGAAAAAGTTTTATAAAAAAAGTTAAAAATTGTTTTTTTCAAACTATGTTAATTAAATATATGAATTTAGGGCCTGACACTTGTTTCAAAGATCTTTTACTTTTGAGAATTTGTGTCTTTTTAAAATCTTTTTTTTTTAATCACATTGTTTCAAAATTAATATAAATTTATTATATAAAATTATTTACTATAAAATTATTGTAAATTATAATATATAAATTTTTAAAAGTTAATTAAATATAAATTAGTTTAGAAAATTATTAATTAAAAAAATATATAAATTTTTTATATATATAGAATTTAGTCGACTTCTTTTGTTTTAAATATAAATTTTGATAGTTTAACGTTTAAGAAATGAAAAAAATTATTAATAGAAAAAAATTTAGCAAAAGTAATTGTTTTTGTTTAATTTTAATTATGTTTAATAATTGTAATTTATGCAATGTTTTTTTGATGGTAAAGCATTACTGTTTTGAAAAAGTTTATTTGAAGTTTTATTGTTTTTTTGAAGTAACTTTTGTAAAACTATAATAGAATATATTAAACTTTTTTTACTACTTGTATTTCTTGATCTATCCTAACTATGACTTTATATTACTCATGCTCCATTTCTTATTTTTCGAAAATTATGATTAATAAAGTTTTAACCCCCACCCCCTCAATTTGAGGGGGCTGTAAACTTTGTAGGGTCATAAAAACTAAAAACTAAGAGGTTGTTGCACCAAATTTGAAACTTGTTGATGAATATAAACTTAGATAAAAATACTAAAGAAATTATTTTATCAACTTGTTGCTCCCACGTTAAGGGCTGCGTGGGCCCGAAAATTGGGTTTTTTTTCTCCCCAAGCTCCAATCACCACAACTTTTTGCAAAACATTCTTATTTGACATAAGTATGAACATACAAAAGTTTGGAGTTTGCAAAATGTGTGTAAGTGTCAAAACTCAAACATCTAAAAATCCAGTGTACACCACTGTATATATATATATATATATATATATATATATATATATATATATATATATATATATATATATATATATATATATATATATATTTATATATATATATATATATATATATATATATATATATATATATATATATATATATATATATATATGTTAGATGTTATACAACATCTAACGTTATATATATATATATATATATATATATATATATATATATATATATATATATATATATATATATATATATATATATATGTTAGATGTTATACAACATCTAACGTTATATATATATATATATATATATATATATATATATATATATATATATATATATATATATATATATATATATATATATATATATATATATATATATATATATGTTAGATGTTATACAACATCTAACGTTATATATATATATATATATATATATATATATATATATATATATATATATATATATATATATATATATATATATATCTGTGTGTGTGTATATTATATTAACTGACCAAGCATAAATTAATTCTAGAATAAAACAAAGGCAGAAGTAATAAAGAAGTAAACTAAATTGAATAGTAAAAAAAACATCATTGCAAATTAGAACAATAATATAAAATAAAAAAAATAGAAAGAAAAAATAAATAGATAAGATGACATCAGGAACTATGAGTGTATGAGGTGACACAATATTTAATGGGATTTGCTTAGAGAATTTATGTGATAACACAGTGTTTAATG